TGACCAAGAAATTTCAGCTCTTTTTGATTTCAAATATAAATGTCCTTTTGTTTTCCCATAAAACTTTGTTGCTTACCTGTTCTGTCCAAAGAATTCACAGCATCTTTCTGTAGAACCACATTTCTGTTGCCTCTAGTTTTCTCTTCATCTGTTAGATTATCAAGTAAATTTATCTTAGTAAAGTTGAATTCAATTATTCACAGTTAAGTACCGAGTGTGGCATAAAAAATTTACTCATTACTTAAACAAATTGAAACACCTATTCATAAAAATAGTTTCAAATTTTGAATAAGACTTCCTAACATTTTTTTTTTGTTTTATTGTTTACAATTTATTTATATATGGTGACCAATTTGAAAATGGCTGGTATAAAGAATTGTGAGGTGATAAAACAATTGAATGTTTGCATAAAAACTATTTTTAATGTGTGGGAAAAATTTCAAGAGGAGTAAACAAGCCCACCAAATCCAATTCCAGGAAGAAACCTTCCAGTCAACAAGATGATTTTTTGCTAGGTCAGTTTGACCTCCATCAAGTCTTGACATTAATCCTATGAACTTTGCAATATGGCCCATATTGGAGCGCGATCTGTCACAGATCTCATACTCAAGTGTGCCAGACCTGAAAGAAGAGCTTATGATATCTTGGTACAATTTGTGCAAAGGGGTGGTAAAGAAGTCATGCACTTCAATTGAAAAAAAGATTAAGGTTGATACTGAATGCAAAGGGTGGCCATTTCAAATTGTAAATACATGTAAAATAACAGTTGCGGCCAAAATGTTCAGAACGAGTTTTGCAGTAAATCCCTAAATCATCCATAACTTTTGTATTATACTCTCAAATTACATCAAAATCTCAGACAATAACAATATCGTATTTATTGTCTGTGAAAATTATAGAATATAAAAAACTTTGATAAAAACTTATACCTACTTTTCTAATGAAAACAATGCCATTCTGAACATTTTGGCCGCAACTGTATTGCCAATAAATACAAGGTGCGATGGATAAATTGTAGTCTAAATTATACAAAAATGAAAAGAGTGACATTTTAACAGATATTTTTACCAAATTTACACAAAATATCTGGAAATACTAAAGAGTAAATTTATTCAATAAAATTGACTGATTTCAACCATAGTCTCCAGACAACTTCAGAATCTCCTGTAAATCTTCTGGACTGTCTCCTTGTTTAAGTTGGTGAATGCTGCCATAATCCTTGCCTTCAGTTCATCTTTGGTGTTACAAGGAGTTTTGTTAGTCTTCTAGCTTAACTGTGCCCCACACATAATAATTAATGGGGGTTGCAGAAATTGTCTGACAGCCATGACTGGGCTGTCCTACTGTGTGGCATGGTGCAGAGTCCTGATGTCAGACATACGATCTTCCAGCAGCCAAAGGACAGCACTACTTCCTGTAGGCCTCTGTTTTGAGTCCGAGATCTTGTGGGGAAATGAATGGAGGCATAATGTCACCATCACTTGTGATCTCTCCAAACATCTTCATAATCAACATTAGACTTATACAACTCTTTCTGAATTCTCTGCACTGTCAGCCAAACACTATGAATTACTATGACTAAAAACCAAAACACTATGAGCTTCTGGTGTGGATGCTAAGCAGTACAGCATGCTATTTCCAAGTTTCTGGTGGAGTGAATTGCATCATGGTGTTCTTTTCCTCACAGTCAGTACCTAACTATACTGTGCACTTGACAAAATCAAAAACAAACAATATGCATGTGCAAAAATAAGAAATATAAAATGGCGACAATTTACTCATCGCACACTGTATAACATCAACCTGTAAACTTTCATCAACCAAAACCTAAAACTTTATTTTATGATAAATAAACAATGTGTAAATATATACATAACACCTGGTCAATCACCAAACTCACCCATTTCATCTCCTATTTTGTTTAAGTTAGGAACAAAGTCATATTTATTTAAATACTATTTGCTAAAAAATCTTTTAAAAAAACTTCCCCAGAAAACTTTACAAACAATTCTTTGTTGCCAACAATAGGCATCTGTTTTTTGAACAATGACCATAATGAAAAACAGGAAAATTTGAATAATTTAACTTAATACATAATCTTGTTGATCTCCATGCAATAGTTATGTAAACATCTATAAGCAGGCAAAGGGAGTAAGTTTACATAAGTTTTTATAGTCTTTCGGCTGAGAGTTTGTTGAAAGTACTTTTTTGTGAGGTTTATAGAAGCCATGTTGGATTGTAACTACAATCATGTGATCAATCAACAAATACTGTGTATAAAGGAGATTTCTAATGTGTGTATACACAATACCAAACAAACCATAATTCCTCAAACTGTTACAATTTTGGTTGCCTCAAGATTCTAAGAGACTAACTTATTTTTAGGAAATTTACAACCCCAAATGTAGAGACTGTAAATAAAACTGTTGTTGGAAATTTAAATATAGTAGTTTTGTTGCTTAAAAAAAAAAAAAAAAAAAAAATCACCCCCCCACTTTTTTTATGAAGAGCTTGTTATTTAGGAACAGATAATGTAAGTATTTAAATCCAAGTAAATATTGTTTCTTTGTTTTCCTTCCCTACAAACCTAACTAAAATATTCAACCAAATATAGGAAAATGGCTTCCAGGTTTGAGAAAAATAAGTTAGAAGGAAATAGTTTTATCCAGACTCCAAATAGGACGTATATTTGACACACATCAACTAACAAATGAAACTATCCCATCATGCAACAGATCTCAGCTACTCCTCACAGTCATAAGTTGCCATCTCAGTGAAACCTGAAGAAATTCAAGAAAGCAATACAAAAGAACTCCTATACACTAAACCATACAATATTCTTAAATTCTTAAAGGAAATCAAACTTTATACTAAAATATAAAGCTATAAAATCTCCCAACAAAACTACATAAAACCTTTAATATTTTTTTTTGGGGGTAAAAAAAAAAAAAACAAGCCTCCAGGCTTCATAAAATTGCGACTAAAATAACAATGCAAATTCTAATAACCAACTTTTATCAGAAACTAAATATAAATTAAGTTGTATTAGAACGCGACATCTCTAATAACTATTAAAAAGAAAAAAAAAACAATTCACCAACTAACATGTATTTAAAAGTATCACCGATTCACTTATAACATGAAGTTATACCAAAAAACAACCAAAATTCAAAACTTATCAAGCCTTAATAAATAACTCTCTAGAGGTTGAAGGGCCATGAAGCAGAAACAAAACCAGCCCCCTCACCATAACCACTTGTATTATTATAATCCAAGAACTGTACATTTTGTGGTCAAATATGCACATTGTTCAAATAAAAATCAAACAAAACAAAAAGAAACAAATCAAAAATAGAAATTAAGATCTCATCATAGAAGTGTTTTTATTTTATTTGTCATCTCATTTGTGGAAAGTCATCTCCTTTATACAACAGCCAGTTACAGACAATAGGACATCGACATCTACAGAAGCACTTTTATTATTAAATATCCCACATTGTATTAATAGATCTGCTAAGAAAGGTGAGATGTTGTAAGAACCTGGAAGCAAATTTACTGTGGATGATCTAGCAATTAAAGCACTTTCTATACATTTTAGTCTTTATAAATTTCTTTCTCTCAAAGTAGCATTTTTAAATTAAAATTAGGGTCACACTGATGGTGAGCAGCTAATGCAGTGAGTATATTGTTTTGTAAAAGGTCTTTTGTGCTTATATAAACTTATTTAAATTTCTTTAGTTTTCTCCTAAATTTGCATTTCACTAAGATGAATTTATCCATCATGGCCAATGACATCTTACATGTATTTAAAGACTTATGTGAAAACCTAACAATAGAAAGCTTTGACAACATTGGTAAACTAGTATTTAAAACTATAAGATTCTATTGTTTTCCACAGTTAAGCAACAAACTGATCCCACTTAGGATTCCTACATACTGATATGATAATTGCAAAAATATATACTTAAAGACTCCTGTGAAAACCTAGCAATAGTAAGGTTGATTCACTTTTTTATGGCTTATCAACCCCTTATGGGTTATTTAAAGCCAAAATATAAATTAGATTGTAAGAATTCTTTTTTTTTTTTGTCTAGCGAATATTGCACAAGTAATTTTGGGGGAAATAACAATGACTTTTTCCAGATAAAAAGTCCTACTATTTAACTCATTGCTGGAGGGGTAAGAGATGGATTCATATTTTTCCCAAGGGTATTTGCATATAAGTGAATAATAATATTAAGGACTTTTTAAAATATGCAATTAGTTTTGACAACATTGGTAATGTAGAAGGCTTATACTTAACATCAGAAAGAGGCAACTAAAGTTTCTGGGACACATAATGAGGAAGGAGGGTCTGGAGAATCCGACATTCACGGGTCAAATAGCAGTAAAGAGAGACAAGGGAAAGCAGCACATGACATATCTGATGAGCTTGAGCAGGTGGATGACAGAACATGGTCTAGGGGAGGAAGCAGAAAGAAGGAACTTGTTGAGAGCTGCAAGGGATAGGGGGAGGTGGAGAGTCATGATCGCCTACGTACTGAAAGGACATGGCACATAAAAAGAAAAAGTAAAATCAATAAAAATAAAATAAAATATAAGAGATTTAATTTAAAAAAAAAAAAAAGTCAACCCTCCCCCCTCACCCATTCCTGAAAAGTAGTATGGATAGGGTGGTGTATGTTGTTACCTTTGTGATGGAGGAGATACATTTTTTTTTTTGTTTTGCTACGGACCAGTAATATTCTTACAAAGCAATAAAAGTAGCATTGTAATGTCCCAAGATTTATTTTAAAATTTATCAATTTTTATAATTAAAAATTGAATTTTAAAAATTATAATTTTTATGATAAAAATAATTATATACTTTTACTATAAAAATAAAAAGATCAGCATTTTTGACTTCCAGCCCTTAGGGTACTTAAACTTTCATAACCTTAAAATTATCACTTTTCTTGTCAGTTGGAAATCTTTTCAACTATACACCATTCATACAATGACTATATGGATAAGACTTTGGCTCCAGCTGATGGTGAACAAATATAACATGTAGCGTTTCCTTTGTATTCTTTCTGTAAAAGAAAAGAAAATATTTGAGTTACTTTTGCCAAAATAGGTAAAATTTCTAGTTTATTTGGTAATTGTAATAAAAACTGAATTAAAATATGTCAGTTCTAAACTGATTATACACTTTAGGAGACGTTTGTTAAAAATATTTGTTTAAAATAAGATACAAAAAAATTGTTTGAAAATATAGCCAAAATAATTTATTGAAGCTCACAAAAATTTTCTGTAGAGTTTAAGATTCAAACCCACAAAAAAAAAAAAAAAAAAAAAAAAGTTACACACTATTTAATTATTAAATTGTTTATTTACAAGATTAATTTTATATTTACAAGATTAATTTTATATTTACAAGATTAATTTTATATTTACAAGATTAATTTTATATTTACAAGATTAATTTTATATTTACAAGATTAATTTTATATTTACAAGATTAATTTTATATTTACAAGATTAATTTTATATTTACAAGATTAATTTTATATTTACAAGATTAATTTTATATTTACAAGATTAATTTTATATTTTTATTAATTTTATATTTACAAGATTTTTATATTTACAAGATTAAAAAATATGTGAATCAACTATAATGAAATATTTATTATTTAACATTTTAGAAAAAAAAAATCTGAAAACAAATTTTGATTAAAAAATGTCTGAACTACAGAACAAAAAAATTTAAATAAATATTATTTTTCTAGACATTATATATTTTCTTTTCAGATTATTTTATATCTCAGATATTTTCATTTTTTTTTTTTTGATAATTGTAATCTTGGATCAAGGATGGCTAATCAGCAGAAACACCCAGTAAAAATTACAGACATTCTGTAATTATACCCAAGGAAAACTTTGTCTACCCAATGAATAAGGAGATACACACTTAAGATATTGAGTGCTTCTAATCTCACTTAAAATTTAAATTTAAAAGAAAAATGTTTAGTTTAGAGGAAGAGATGCTCTCAATCTATTTTAGTGGATTTCTGCTGCAAGAGTAAATGCCCAGAAAACATTTTTTCAAAATTTATAATTAGTTACTCATTGTTATAGGTTTATTTAAATTTTCTTCTTCAGGACATTTTTATAAAAATGGTAATACAACTGAGAAAATACATGAAAAATAGGAGAATTTTACAGGTTTTCTATCTGGTCTTGTTGAGTATTTCTGTAAAAAGCACTCAAGTCGGCTGAGTAAGGCAAGGATGTGTCTTCTTACCAGACTTATTCAACCTATATGGCAAGGCAATTCTGAGAGAACTGGAAATCCTACCAGAATTCATCATTGGCAGCCACAATCTCAACAATATAAGATATGTAGATGACATAGTGCTGGTAACAGACACAGAAAGGAAACTACAAAAACTTCTACAGAAAGTAGTGAAAGAGAGTGAGAAGAAGGGACTAAGCATAAACTACAAGAAGACAGAATGCATCGTCATCAGCCAAAAAGATGAGCCCCAAATGCAACTTATAGGTCGGGGACACTAAAATCAAGCAGGTACAGAAATTAAATATGCAGAAAGTGCAACACTGAGATCTAAAAATGTATTGGAATGGTCACAGATGCATTCCAATAGCTAAGCAGAGTATTACAAGACAGGAAAGTTTTGTTGGCAACAAAGAAAAGAGTACTGAATTGTTATATGATAACTGTCCTCCTATATGGCAGTGAATGTTGGACAATCTCCTCAAAGATGAAGAAGTGACTCGAAGCAACAGAAATTTGGTTCTACCAAAGGATGCTAAGTATACTATGGGCTGAACATGGGAGCAATGACGAGGTTTTGGAGAGAATGAAAACAAAGAGAAAACATATGCTTAACATCAGGAAGAGGTAGCTGAAATTTCTGGGGCATGTAATGAGGAAAGAGGGCTTGGCAAATCTAATACGGGATGGATAGAGGAACAAGAGGAAAACGTGACATACTTGATGGGGTTTTGAGCAAGTGAATTGCAGAACAAAGTCTGAGAAATAACCAATGAACAAAACTTATTAAGAGTTACAAGAGAGAGGAGGAGGTGGAGGGCAATAATCGTCTTTTTTCTGAAGGGACATGGTACATAAAAGAAGAACTTTTCTTAATTTATTGAATGAAATGGTAAAAGATATATATATATATATATCTCCAAATCTATGAGATTAAAAATAATATATAAATTCTAACATTCACAGCATTAATTCAAAAGAGGGCTCAATACCAATAGTAGAGCAATAATTATTTATTATAATTTTTTCATAGACAAAAACAGTTGACTCTCTACAAATATGCAACTTTGTTTCGGAGCATTTAGTTGCACCACAACTGGTAAGAACCAAAATGGTTATGAACAATTCTGTTTGTAAGCAAGCCATGTGTGGAACATCACTTGCTTTTTTTCCATTTGTTTGAGAAAAAAAAAGAGAAAAAGAAAAAAAGAGAAAGAGAAAAAAAGAGAAAGAGAAAAAAAGAGAAAGAGAAAAAAAGAGAAAGAGAAAAAAAGAGAAAGAGAAAAAAAGAGAAAGAGAAAAAAGAGAAAAGAAAAAAAAGAAAAGAAAAAAGAAAAGAAAAAAGAAAAAGAAAAAAAAAGAAAAAAAAAAAAGAAAAAGGTACATTTTAAGAGGGGACATATAAAGGTAAAGAAAAGATAGGAAAAGCAAAAGGGTGGGGATTTTTCGTGTTCTCTTATTGAAAGAGAAATCACCAATGACAAGATTCATCATCCCCATGGCGAAACTTAGTACAATTCATTCACATATCAAATCAGCACATTACAAACAATAAAGCAAAGAATGTTTCATAACCCTGAGAAATCATTATAATACAAAATAAAAAAACAAAAAAACAACACATTAAATGTTATTAACAACAGGAAATTGCATCTTGAAGTAAGTATATAATATTTAATAGGCAAAAAACACTTAATTGATGCATTCTTTTTGATGAAGTCTTGCTCCCTTAACACTATATTAAACCGATTCAAACCTCCAGGTCTTTATAAAATGCCTTGATGTAGCCAAAAGAATCTTGCTTACTTACATTTCAGCACATGGTTTTTGATAATGACCGAGATAGTCAAATGAACTTAAATAAAAAAAAAAAAAAAAAAAAAAAAATGAATCTTGGACAGTTTAACCACAATTCTGATCCTGATATCCTATTCAAAAATTGGCAAAGACAATAAAAAATTAAACAGACCTTGTTAATTGAATTTAATAAAACTTCTTTGCAGATTACACACACATATATATATATATATATATATATATATACACACACACACAATACCCAGTGGAAACAGGGTTTCATGCTTAAACACAATTTTCAGGTCATTATATATATTAAAGAAAAGCCAAAGTGGTTGGTGGAACCAACAGAAAACTTGCCAAAAACCTAAATACCGTTAAACAAGATAAAATTTTGAACATGGACAGCAATAAGGAAAAAGAAAAAGTCCTAAAAACAAACACCTACCCACTCAGTGGTGGCATGATTTTGAAAAATGTTTGAAATATCTGGCAAGATATGGGAAACACAGAGTAAATTGAAAGATGCACATTGAGAAATCTATTTGAATTCCTTTAAACATTTGGATAGCACTGTAGTGTGTGTGCGCACACACACACACACTCACATATCTAAGACGATGATTTGTTTTTATCAAGCTTGGTATATTGAAAACGTCTAGTGTCTTTACCAAGAGAAGATGAAGTTAAATCTTACAATTGTCAACAAATCTTCATCAATTGCTTACCTTTACATTGCTGATTAAATCATTCACAGCACTCTCCTCTACAAGTGTGACAGTACAGCCTCCAAAGCCTCCACCCGTCATGCGAGATCCATAGACGCCTTCTGTGCCAAGTGCTATTGAAACCAGTTCATTCAGTTCATCACATGACACCTCATAATCATCACTAAAAATAACAAGAGAAAAGATTTAATAAAATATAGACATAAGATAAAAGAAAAATTTTTTCCTTCTTTTTTGACAGTATATGAAACAACTCCATTCATTTCAGATGGGAATATTAAAAAAAAAAAAAAAAAAAAAAATTATTGTAGATCTTCATCCATGTCCCTAATTTGGCACAGTTTGAAACAAGCTTTTTTTTTGTTGTTGTTCAGCTCTGTATAAAATACCAGAATGTAGTCAATGGAATCTAGTTTACCACAGTGACAGCACATGATTCTTGATAATGACCAAGAGGGTCGATTGATCTTGATATACAAAACATCTTACTCAAAAATTGGGAAAATACAATGAAAAAAAATAATCAAATTTTAATATGTAGTTAAAAAATGGGTCTTATCAACTATGGTAGATTTTCAAAACAGGTCACCAAGTGCTACATTTTCTCATTATTCAATACCATGACTCTTCAAGGATGTAAACGATGATGACACTCCACATATTCTTTTTTTTTCTTCTCTGTGAATTGGCATGGTTGATTTCTCCATCCAAGGATAAAGAGCTCAAGCTACCTTGCTATTTAATCCATAACTGTAGGGGGGAAATCATGCCTTTCATAAGGGTATTAGTGTGAAAGTGAATGCAACAAAATAGGTGGGAATTAAACTCGGCTCAGTGATTCTACTTTCCACACTGATTACTGCCGTTACACACATTTGTAAAATTTTGTGTTGAAGTTTGACTTAAACCAATTTTTTTCTGGTTATGAGGGGAAAAAGAAGAAAAAAGAGAATTAAAAAAAAAAAAAGGGGAGAATTAAAAAAAAAAAAAAAGGGGAGAATTAAAAAAAAAAAAAAAAAAAAAAAGGAGAAGGAAAAAAAAAAAAAAAAAGGGAGAATTAAAAAAAAGTCCCTTTCATGCCAGAAAGTAATTACGAGGACAAGTAATAAAATATAAAGGAGAAAGAATAGTCCAGATGTTTTCACATGTTATTGTTTTGTGAACCTTCAAGACATAGGCAATCAGATCTCTCCACAACTTTCTATCTCGCATAACTCTTATCAGTTCTTCCTATCTTGACTCCCTATCTAATCACACAAGCTAGTCAGGTAAGTAGCTCACTGTTTTCCCCTATCTCTCAATATATTCCGTGAGGGTTAAATTTTCCAAGTACTCCTTTCTCATTTCCGTCGGTAGCTCAGCGAAAAAGAGTAGAATATTTATAGTCTAAGGGAGGTAAGAAAGTAAATAAAATTTAGAGTTATCTTTTCTTAGAAGAAATAATGATAACATAAATTTGCGATGTGCCGGACAGGATTTTCCCATTGTAATCAGAGAAGTACGCTTCAGAGTATGTCTTGATGCGGCAATGACCACGAAAACCAGAAAATTACTTTCTAAGTCAATATAAAATCTACTATTTATCTTTGCTATTATGCAGTGTCAAATCTATAAACAAGTTACAAAATTTCTTAACATTTTTGCACACTTTTTAAAATAATGGCAATGTTGTAAGCAATCTGGGATTGCAAAGGAAATGTTTGTTGCAGATTATTTCCACGTCACCGAGAATAAATCACTGTTCAGACTTGAACATCGGGGGCAGAAAGAAATGCCGAAAACTCGATTCGCAGGTACTATCTCACAAATCACAATGAACACAACCAGTCAGAAAAATAACTCATTCTCCAACAAACCAGAATTTCCTCAGTTGCAATTTGATCTTTTATTATGGCCCAAGCTCGGTCCAACAGTTGGTTTGTATTCATGTCTTCCATCCTGGAAGATACGCGCAGTAGTTGCTTGACGTGCGCTGGCAACCCTGCTATGAACCCACATGCTAATCCTTGCTCTGATATCCCACCAAATAGAGCAGCTAGCTTCTTCAAGTCGGCTAGAAACACGTTTGACGGACTTGTTCAGGCGCAGTCGGTGTTCCACAAATTGCTCGTAAGCCAAGAAGCAATCCGGTGCAAAGGCAATCTTCAGGGCTTGTTTTATATGCTTGACATCAGATTTTTGTTCTGAGTTTAACTGCTGATAAACAGCAAATGCTCCACCCGTCAACCTCAAAGGAAGAACACGTTCAACCTTTTTAATTCCACACAGATCCCTTACAAATGTTTAACCTTTGTGCCAACCAAAAAACAGTGTGTCAAAAGGACAGTTATTCCCTTAACACCACTATTATTGTATACACTTGACTCCATTGGCAGTATTATTTACCTTTTATAAAAGATTTATTCTTTAATAATTTATTAAAGAAATAATTTGAAAAATCTTTTTATTCAAATCTTTATAAAAGAATGGCAATTATTAAAATATGTAAACCAACTACAATGCAATGTTTATTATTTACCATTTTATAAATAACTATGAAAACAATTTTTTTTTTTTTTAATTCAGTCTAATGGTGTTTAATAACTTTGTTGTTGATTCTTGAGGAATAAAGAAAATGTATAAATCCACTTTCATATGTTTGGGTTTTATTAGAATTCTAATCATTTATTAAAACAAACATTACTGAGGGAGTCAGAAGTGTATACAGTAATAATGGTGTCAAAGGAATAATTGTCCTTTTGACATGCCAATTTTTTTTGCGGGCACAAAATAAAACATTGCAGAATATTTTTTTTGTTTTAAATTCTCAAGGAGGAAAAATAGATAAATAAATAAAAATGGAGAAACTTACCGTAAAGAAGTATGGCTTTGTACCATTAAATTACCAAATGTTTTCAGGTCAGCCTGTTGTAAAGCGGACACTCCACTTGATACTCGACTAATTTCAGTCAGGACATGCCTTGCACGATTGAAGGTCACATTGTCCAACTTGTCTTTTTGACCTAAAATTAATTAAAATAGTGTTTTAAAAATTGTCAAAGTCAAATTTTGTATTAACATAAAAAATAAAGTAGATGTGGCAACAAAGGAGAAAAAAACAAGTCTTATCTCCAAAAAGAATTTGCATTCCCTGTATAGTTTGTTGAAAAAGAAAATCTGTTCTACGTGAATAAAGTCTTGAAATATGATCATTTTTGTTCTTGCTTATCTCAAAACTGTTCAATCCAACCTCCACTGTAAAATATGTATGGTTGTTCTTTGTCATGGTAGAGGGGGCTTACTTATCCCAATGATTCCAAGAGTGAAGCCATCTGGAGTTCCAACTCCTGTAGGGCCACCCATGGCAGCAAGAACAAAGAGGAATAACCGAATTGAATGCGACCAACCTTTGAAGATCGCAACGGCAGAATAGACCTTTGTGATCTACACAATTTCAAAGACCAAATTGGATGAAGAGGGCAGCACCAGTCGGGCTGGTGTAACCAAGGTGGATCTTGACAGACCAAGCATCCGACAGGCTAGTGCAACCAAGTTTATCCGACCTCTCCTGTCTCAATCCACTTTGAGTCATGAGGGTGGTGCTTCTGGCCAAGAGTGTGAGCTTCTCTGTTATGCAAAGTTGTCCACTAAAATCAAATTCACATGAATGGCCTTGTCAAACTTTCTTTAATTCTCAGCCATCTCTGCCACCACCACCTCCAGGGGTGGGTGGGGAAAAGGGAATAGTGAAGATGACGATCCCAATGCTTGGATGCGAGTGAGTGCCGACAACAACAACAAAAGCCCAGTTTCAACCAATCACAACCTTTCTTACATTCAATAAAAAATGTTTGGACAAAAGGATCATTTGCTGTCTGTGGGTGAAGAAGGTAATTGTGCATTGCAAGTTGAGGAGAGAAATTTTTACCTGTGGGATTTTTTTTATGTTCGACATATGAAAAAGATTTATGACCGTTGTAATTACAATCCCAGACTTTTGACTTTTGTATCTGAACCTACCTATTGCTATTTTCTCAAACTATTTTGGAAAAAAAAAAAAAAAATCTTCAAAAAAATGGCAGATATATAGGGAAAAAAAAAAAAAAAAAAAATGTTATTTCCAACATAATTACATACCTACATACATAGCATTAAAAAAATGCCCAAACTTTATATTCTATCTAATAACAAACAATATTAAAAACATGCCAAAAAAAATTTCACAATACAGCACACACCTTGTAAATCAAAGTCTCTGTTGGTTAGAAATTAACACTACCATGTGAAATATTTGACTAACCAGGGAACTAAAAACCTATTTTTCTTGAGCCTACTAATTCTTATAAAACCCCACATATTTCGACTTTTAGGATCAGAGAAGAGGCTTTCTCTAGGCCGAATACAAGAGAGCAGAGATATGCAACTTTTTGGACACAAGAGTTGCAACTGTCTCCATGCCATGGCTACATAGTTTGTTTCCCTCCAGAACATACTGAAAAGAAACACAAGTAACTTCAAACAGTTCAACTCTAACAACAAAGATGGTTAGTGAATCTTAACTAATAACTGTGGTAAAAAATCAAAATAACAAAAAGCAACAAGAAAAAAAACGCACTTGCTTTATACAGCTGAGGACCAACCATAATTTGCATGCGAATGACGAGACAACGAGATTTTGCGTTAACTGTCCGAGACCACCTGGCATAAAACATGGGCGCCACCATTTTGTTTTTTTTTTTTTTTTTTTTACCGCTGAGCAGCTGGATTTTGCACGACGCACAGATTCATGGGTGTTTTCAAGGTAAGCCGTTTTCACAATTTTCCCCACACTCCCCCCTGATCTCATAAACAGGGCAGGGAGGTGGCGATCATCACCATTGAGTCCCTCTCCGAAGGGGGATAACACAAGCTTCATCCTCATGCGTACTTTCATCTGGTTTGAGTGTCGGTAAACACTGTGTCCATTTTTCAATCTCCCTCTGGTCACTTCTAGTTCAGGCAGTGGGTTGGTTTCAATGCCTTTCACTCAGACATGATACTTGTGCAGTGCATCAGCCAGCGCTGTGGACGGTGAAACTTTATCTTTCGGGGCAACATTATACCAGTAAACCGCCTCCGATACTGTACAGCCCTTCCTGGCTGCAATGGTCTTGACGGTTCTGTGGTTTCGCTCTACGATGCCGTTTCCACTTGGCGAGTAAGCACAACGAAACCACAGATGCACGTCCCAATTGTCTGCAAATTTTTTAAAGTCTTTACTGGTTAATGCAGTATCATTGTCGGTCAGTATTTCCATGGGTGGGCCTCACTCCAGAAAAACATTCTCCAACAGTCGAATGACTGTGCTCACATCTTGTCGGCACAGCAGCCGCCATACCACAAACCTAGAGGAACCACAATCAATAAGTGTTAGAAAATTCTCATCATTGTGGTTAGTTATATCCATCGCTAGTTTGCTCCAGTTGCTCTTCATGCTCAGTTCTCCTCTTTCCCAGTGAACAGGTGCTGGATCGATTGACTGACAGGTTGTGCAGGCCTTCACAACGGATTTAACACTTTCTCTGGACACTTGTGGGTCGACTAATCTGGCGAAGTACAGAGTTCATTTCACGCCTGGATGTCTACTTTGACAATGGATATTGGCCACCTGGTCCTTGTCCAGTCGTCTCCCTGCCATTGTGCAGCTCTCGAGCGCTAGTTCTCCTCTCTTGAGCAGATCCAGCCACCTGCGCGGTACTTTGGTCAGGTGATCTGCACGGTTCTGACAGAACTGTGCAAGTGTCACATCTATGGTCAATCCATATTCTCCCACCAGCAATCGCATTGTGCCCAGCAATCGCATAGTGCCCAGCCGTCGCCTAACCAGTATCTCGCCAGCCGCCCTTGTGTTCACCCGTGCCTTCCCGGTTAAGGTGTTGGAAATCCACCAGTGCACACACGCTGAATCAGTAACCAAGTGCAATGTTGTCACCTCCAACTGGTGGGCTAGATTGACTCCTTTAAGTGCTGCATTGAGTTCAGCAAAATTAATATGCCTGGCATCATCAGTCGGATGCAGCCAACATGCATCTTCGATGACATTTCCGTTCACTTCTAATGCCACTCCAGTCAGCATGGAACTCACATCCACCCAGACTGTGATCTTGTCACCACCCATGCACCAGTCTCCTCCAATGGGATCCATTTCTTGTACTCTACTTAGCATCTCCGCTAGTATGCGACAGAGAGAGGGATCTTTGATTTTATCATCCCATTTGGTTGCTGTGGTTGTCAGGCGCTTGACAAATGCAACTGCCACACTGAGCCATCCACAAATGGGGAAATGTCCAACAAATTTCCCACACAACGAGAATACGTGCAGACGGGTCAACACATCAGGGACTTCCGGGATCTAACTTCCTCATTTCCATCGGAGGGTGCCATTCTCTTCCCAGACTTGCAAGCCAAGAACTCTTGCTCCATCTCACAGTCGCACCGGATCCTTGCACACCAAACCGTAATCTGAAAAGTGTTGTCATACACGTGATGGAGAGACCAGACTTTCATTGATGAAAATGTCATCAACGTATGCTGATGTGGCACTTTCAATTGTGCGGTCTTGCGATGTGATGGCGTCTATAACAGATTTCATAATGATTGGCGCCACATTTAGCTCAAATCCTAGCCGCGTATGACAAAAGCGTTGACCCTTGAAAATAACTGTTTGAAATGGCCACAGCGCTTTGTCGATGTGAATCTGAAGATGTGCGTTTCGCAGACCCAGAAGCAACACATTGACACCCTGTCTCCGCCATGCTCTCAGTGTGAACTGTCAGCAACGATGCAGAGACACACACAGTCAGCCACCTTGCATCAAAAGGTTTGGGAAATGGTTTTTGCCCTACCGCATGTCATGAGAGAGGTTCTCCTGTGATCGTAGTACTTGTCAATGGAGTGAAAAACATTGCCCTGGTGGATACGTACTGTTTAGCTTGTTGTCTGCAAAGTAGACAGCAAGCGGATATGTTAACAGTCAATAGAAAAATCCTTCAGAACTGAGAGCATAAAATAAGTCATCAAAGTCAACATACTAATTGTTGACAGCAAATTATTAGGGTTTGACCTGCTTTTTGGTATGGACATTATCAAAAGGTTAGGCAGGGTGCATATCACCGAATTGGGTAAAGTTTGCTTTTGTAATGCACCCAATCTGTGCAGACATAAAAATTTACAAGCCAGTCTTTTGCATGGAGTTCAACTACAGCACCAAAGTATGGATGACATTAAAATGGGAGAGAACTATGGAAGAAAGATTTATTCTCCAATTTACATTTCCCCCATTATGGGCATTATTATATCTGTGATATAATAACACAGTAGTTCATGGATGGAATGGAATAACTGAAAGGTAAAATGAATGACAAATTTGCTTTGTTCTCAGAGAGACTTTTATACTACTAAGACATACACAAAAGTAAAACTATATATACACATGTCCCATGCAGAGAATAATATATCACATATCTACACAGTAAAGCATAGTGTAAGGAGAAACAAATAGGAAGGGTCTTACATATAATATGGAGATATTCCTGTATTTGGAGAAGCCATGTTTAGGACTCAAGATTCAAACAGAATGGATTCATTTATGTCCCAGGCGAGACATATTCCATGAATGGGAAACAGTGAATTTGTGTTTTCCCAAATTGAGAACCGTGAACTGGAGTTTCATTCTATGTCTAGGAAAGACATATTCCCAAAGGGAAATGGCACCATGGACTTGTAAGTTGCTGGGGAGGCAGATTTAGCCTCTGATAAAGAAAGGAACCTTTCAGTTTGCCTGCTGTAAACTAAGTGGCTTTGACCCACATGAAAGTGCCTTCTGTATACAGACAGCGTTATGGAAATGGTCAGATAGCAACTCAGAGAAATTGCAGAATTGAATCCTCGAGTATTCTGTATCTAAACATGTCAGAAGTGAGTACCAATGCAAATTGGAAGCATGACTGGATAACAGGTGGGTAGTAGCTTATCCCAAGGATAATCTCAGTTCCCTCAAAAGGGTTAATTCCACTAATGGCTGTAGTGGAAAAGAACAAAGGTGATTATTGAGAGTTAAGTGATCATGTCAACATGTGCATAACGATAGAGAAAATGCAAGAGGGAAGAGTCCAGTGTGTTTGTACTGGATCTCTGAAAGGCCTACTTAGAGGTACATGTGCAATAATCATTGTTGACCTTTTAAACTTTCAAGGGGTGGGTGTAAATGAGGTTTGAGTTTAATGTGGTGCCAGCTATCATGTACACCATCATATCATAGACACTCTTGTCAAAAGAGGAGTCTATTCAACATGTAACTTCAGTTTATATTGAGGACATTTGCATCAATGAAAACCTGGAGACTACAGTGTGCATGTGATGCCATCTTGCTGATCAGCATGGAAAGAGTGGTTAGAGAATAGCACAAGAGTACTCAGCTTGTAAGCCTCGTGGGAGCATGACACCTTACATATGAAATGCAGAAGCGAAATCCCAGAGGTTATTACAGAGAAAACAAAAAAGGAAAAAAAGAGAGAAAACAAAAAAGGAAAAAAAGAGAGAAAACAAAAAAGGAAAAAAAGAGAGAAAACAAAAAAGGAAAAAAAAGAGAGAAACAAAAAGGAAAAAAAGAGAGAAAACAAAAAAGGAAAAAAAAGAGAAAACAAAAAAGGAAAAAAAAGAGAAAACAAAAAAGGAAAAAAAAAGAGAAAACAAAAAGGAAAAAAGAGAGAAAAAAAAGGAAAAAAAGGAAAACAAAATGAAAAAAAAAAGAAAAAAACAAAAAGGAAAAAAAAGAGAAAACAAAAAGGAAAAAAAAAAAGAAAACAAAAAAGGAAAAAAAAGAAAAAAAAAAAAGAAAAAAAAAAGAAAAAAAAAAAAAAGGAAAAAAAGAGAAAAAAAAAAAAAAAGAAACAAAAAAAAAAAAGAGAAAACAAAAAAGGAAAAAAAAAGAAAACAAAAAAAAAAGAAAACAAAAAGGAAAGAAAACAAAAAGGAAAGAAAACAAAAAGGAAAGAAAACAAAAAGGAAAGAAAACAAAAAGGAAAGAAAACAAAAAGGAAAGAAAACAAAAGGAAATAAAAAACAAAAGGAAAGAAAAACAAAAGGAAAAAAAACAAAAAAAAGAAAAAGAGAGAAAAGGAAAAAAAGAGAAAAAGGAAAAAAGAGAGAAAAAGGAAAAAAGAGAGAAAAAGGAAAAAAGAGAGAAAAAGGAAAAAAGAGAGAAAAAGGAAAAAAGAGAGAAAAAGGAAAAAGAGAAAAAAGGAAAAAGAGAAAAGAAAAAAGGAAAAAGAAAAGAAAAAAGGAAAAAGAGAAAAGAAAAAAGAAGAGGAAAAAAAGAAAATAGGGAAAAAAGGAAAAAGAGAGAAAAAAGGAAAAAGAGAAAAGAAAAAAGAAGAGGAAAAAAAAGAAAAGAAAATAGGGAAAAAAGAAAAAAGAAAGAAAAAAGCATAAAAGAAAGAAAAAAGCATAAAAGAAAAATGAGCAAACAAAATTGGGAAAAGAAAAATCAACAAAAACAAGAGAAAGTGAAAAAGAAAAACTTAAAACTAACTTAACAGTTCAGCATAAGACAAATCTCTCAAAGCCGGCTTCTTCATTATTTTGGCTGCCTCCTCACACTGGCGTCGACGCTCTGGGTACTCTGTTCCAGAAAGAGTATGTCGGACATTTGAGTTGCAGATTAGAACCACGGCATTTGGAAAAGTCATAGGGACCAGGGTTGTTTCTAGCGATCTGTGAAAAAAGTTACTAAAATTACAGAGAAACAAATAAATTCAACTGAAAAAGATTTTTCAACCCAAATAGCATTGAAATATTAATCTTCTTTGTAATTATTTCCCCTGCTTCCAACTGGTTGTCAAAAATTGGATAATGTACTTCAGGTGAGAGATAAACATGTCAAAGTTGTAACAAAACCAATGAATTGAACTAACATAAGGAAATTCCAAACATAAGAGGAAAAAATGGCAAAATAAGACATCTATGGGAGAGTAAGTTTTAGAATAGTGTCAATGACAATTGAGTAATGTCTTGTCATCAACTTGTATTCCACCGGTGTAGCTTTGTACCAGACTGAGATGAACTTTTATATAGGAGTAAATAAATTTTTAAACTAATAACATTTGTTTCTTTCTAAACCATAAGTTTTAAATAACTTAATGGAGGGAGGAAAGAAAAATGAACAAATGGGTAGCAAAAGGAAAAGACAGAGGAAGTATAAAAAAAAACAAAAGAAATTGGTAAGTGAAGATGAAAACAAAAAAGTAAGTGACAATGGAGGAAAGAAAATAAGTGAAGGATATTGTAATGGAAGACAAAAACAAAGTATGTGGTAATAGAGAACAGAAAAAAGTAAACAATGTGGTAATGGATGGTTTGGTTTATTTTATAGCATATTAACACCTCAATGGGTCATTTAATGCCGACAAAATTTTTATAACATGTTTGTATGAATAGAATATGTATTTGTAACAAATCAGTTTGTAGATCAGGTTTCATTGACGTATTTTTGTAAAGAGGATTTTTGCCGAGAGTCAAATCTATTGCTGGTAATAATTTTTTGCTTTTTTTCAAATAAGTATTGCTGGCACTAATTTTTTCTTTTCCAGCCTTGATGAGTCCACTGTATAATTTTTTGCATCATGCTTATGTATTACAGCATTATGAATTTTTGCTTGTCCAATTTATGTTTCGTGGGTGTAGTGTCCATAATTTCTATGCTTTCAAGTCTATTAATGCTTTTTTCTTGTTATATTTTGTTCTTCAAAAGGTCATTTGTTTCTGCTTGTTTGTTTTTCCATTAGGCAATCTTTGTCTGGATGGTGACCATTCCCTTATTTGAAGTGAGATAGAGTTTTGTTCATCTATGTCCATTTCTCTTGGTTCTTCACTGATGTACTGGGTTGTGTTATTTCTTTTATGAACCTTTTGGTTCTCTTGTGAATATTTGGAAGTTTCTATTTCTTGAAGAATTTTTGTACTTTGGATTGGGGTTTTGGGAGTTATTTGTTTTGTACTTATGGATTCTTTTTTGTTTGAAGTTAACTGGATAGAATTTATTTTGACTATTGGTTTATGTCTGATATACTAAATTTTAGTAGTTCTATTAGACTTTTTAAATCATTAGTTGTAAGGTCTTGGTTTCTTATTGCATTGTTCTTTCGTACGTCATTTTGGTGATTCATTATTTAGTAATATTTGCATAGGATGTTGGAAGTGAATTAGTTTCAACCTGTTTTTTGGCTTCTTGGAATGAGATATTTTGTATGTATTTTATTCTTATTATTTGCTTTTCATTTTTCCAAATGTTACACTTTTTAAAATCTGCTGAGTAATTTTGTTTGCAGTTTGGGCATAAAAGAGTCATTTCAAAGAGTGACTCTTCATGATCAAACTCAAATTCCCCACATCTTCAACAGACTGGTACTCTTGTACATTGATCTTGTAGATGGTCAAATTTCTCTGACATTTGTGATATTTATGGGGATTACGGATGTATGGCTCTACATTGGATATTGCGTATCCTATTTCTTTTTATTTGTAATCTTTTGACATTTGTTACACTTTGTTTTTTTTTTAGGGTGTCAACATTTTTAATATCTTCTAGTGAGCAGAGTGACAGTTCTGGGCATTTTATTACTCCCTTAGGAGGAGGGAAGAAATTGGTGGGGATAAATCTTTACTTTCACGTTATTTGATTGATTTTTAGTATGTTTTTTGCATCCTGTTTGGTTTTTCTTGAATTAGAAGTTTGTTTTGTTTTTCTTTCTTTTACTGATTTTGGTTCTGTTATGGCTGATATAACCTTTTGTAACACAAAAAGGTGACATGTGTCATTTCACCCTCTAATGATTCTATTACTATGAAAATTGGAAATTGTTTTTCTCCTGATATTTCATTGTCATTTTCTGTTTCAGACTTTTCATACTGTCTCTTTGATTGTTTATAAGAATTAGTCATATAATTTTGTTTTTGTATTAATCATCTGTGCCCCCACCACCTTGGAATGCCTTCTTAACGGACTATCAGGAGGTGACTAATCCCATTTGCCCTGATCTGTCAGGGCTAAACAGATGATATAATTGGGATGAAAGTAGTTGCAAGCACCTGCATTCCCCCAATCATATCTACCTAAATATAGTGTGGTGTAAGGATATGCAACCATGTCATAGCCATTTTCTTTCATCCAATCTAGCCCTTGCCACTATGTGTCTAGCTGATTAAATTGGATTGGACTACACTATCCACCTGTCTATCTCAGGTTGGGATTGAAGTGGTGTTTTGTGAAACTCCTGGCCATTTTATACCAGGTTAGGAGTCACTCATTTACCAGGACTCCATCCCTAGGTGTCACAGGTCACCACCCACAGCAAACAGGTAGCCCCATTGAAGGGACTTTATAGTTTTTTGGGAAATGTGTGTTTTATATATTGTAATTTTATAGGTATTTTGTATGGACAGGTAGTTTATGCATAGCATTTTGTGTAAACTGATTGTAGATTATGATTTTTGTTGGTAGTTTAAAAGATGTCTATTTTTTTTTTCTTAATAGATTGTTTGTATGGAAAAAAAAACTATATTTTTTCTGAAGGCACCATCCTAGGTAGAAACAGATAAGGTGTAGGCTTATTGTATAAGCTGATGGCAGGTAGGTGAAGTTTCCCCTCATACAAATAATTAGTTTCTAATCCATCTTGCTTCCCATTACTATGCCTGGTTGTAGCTTAATGCCCTGCCCAGAATATAGGTGAACTTGTTTTGTAAAAAAAAATCAAAAAACAAAAAACCCAAAAAAACAACAAAAAAACAACAAAAAAAAACAAGAACAAAAAAAAACAACAAAAAAAAAACAACAAAAAAAAAACAAAAAAAAAAAAACAACAAAAAAAACCCCAAAAAACAACAAAACAAAAAAAACTACAAAAAAAACAAAATGAAAAAAAAAAAAAAAAAAACAACAAAAAAAAAAAACAAAACAAAAAACAAACAATAATTGTAATGAAGGACAAAATCAAAGTATGTGGTAATGGAGGACAGAAAAAGCAAAACAATAAGAAATGTGGGAATGGAGGGCAAAACCAAAAACAAATATAGTGGAAGGGAAGGTAAAAACGGTGTATTAGAGAAAGAATAATAATAATAAAAGAACAAAAATTACCTGGTATCAATCTGGAGGGCATTGCCTTCTTCACCCATGAAGGAAATAAACTGGTCCATTATACCACATGGTAGATTGGCAAATTTGTGCTCTGCTTTTTGACAAGCCAATGCTTTTTCCTTTTTACTGACATCAGATACATTGTTGCCATCAAGTTGGTCCAGAAACAGGTATGTGGCTACTTCAAGAGCAGCAGAACTGGACAGTCCTCCACCAAGGGGCACAGAAGATATGATGACTGCATCAAATGGGTTGAGAGTTCCTGAAACCAGAGAATAGGTACTTGACATGAGTTTTGTAGATTTTACAAGTGCATAAATAGATTTACCTGTTGTACTTTATGACTAACTAAGTGTGGCAAATGAGGCCCTAGATAAGTATGCATATGTGTTTGTCAGCACAAATTACATCCAGGTTTTCCCTGTTAAAACTTAAACTCTTGAAATTTTTATTATTATTCATCTTTCATGAATAGAAGTAGACAGTGTTGTTATCCTACTTAATCTGGATCTCTTTGATTCACAAATACATTTCACCAGACATGTCAGCTGGATGTGAGCACTAAGAAAATAAAAATGCAAAATAAAAAAAAATGTTTTCTGTGCATCACATCCGGTCCACAAAACAAATGCCCTGCAAAAATCCAATAGCCAATCACAAACATTCTCATCCAAAATAAAATTAAAAAAAAATTATGTGATTTGAAGCCTGTATCTGTTAAACCAAAGATATAAAAATGACACGCTTTGTTGATGACAGGTGGTTTGGCTTCAACACTTTGGCCTTGTCACATGACTGTCAGACCAAATACCTCACTGGTCTCGATTTCAACATTGAAGAAATGAATATGTCAAACCCTGTCTACAGTACTATACTTGGCTTCACTAATCTGCTCCAGGCCTCTCTCCTGACATCAACTGTGACCTCAGTCAACCAACCCAAGAAATCGGTCAACTCCTGGCACTACCAAAAACACCTTTATATCTAATCACTTTCCTTACTAACAGCAACTAAGGAACCACATATGAACAATTTTTGCAACTTTTTATATAACTATATATATATTCTGAATTTTGACCAATACACATTGTTGAAAGTTTAATCCTTGTTTTTTCCTTTCCTTTGTAACCATATGCTCATTATAACAATAAGTTCACCTATTGTGTGTTTCATACTCCGCCCCAATTTTTGAACAAGAGTAGTGTCTCTTGTTTCCTGTTTAGGATTTGGTTTCAAGTTCCTTCTAACATCTACTTCAACTCTACCCTTTTAACATCTCTGCAATTTTATTTACTATTTATATTTTTTTAAGGAAAAAAGTATTTATTGGTTTAAGAGAATCTTGCTGGGCTGCAACATACTCTGTGGCCGAGTGGTCTGCAACAAATCAGAGGGTGGTTTACTCTGACAAAGGGAGACATGGGCACAAAACCTGCCAAGAAATAGTTCTTTTATTAAGTTTTCTCAAGTGCACAGGCAGTCGATAGAGGTAATAAACACTGAATTAAAAAAAATTATTATTGTTGAATTTTAAATTTAAATTTTTAGACAACTGAAAATTTAATATTGTTGTTTAATATTAACTGTTAATATCAATAATATGTAATTATTTCTGTTATTATTGTTACTATGACTAGAAAATTTCATATTATTTAATCTAAAATTTTAATAAATAATAAATTTTTAGATATTTAAATTAAAATTTAATATTGGCTGTTATTATCAATAATATTGTCACTATTTTTATTGTTCTCTATTATTGTTAACAATACAAGAAAAAAAAAAAAAAAACTTCTATGGCTTGTTTTTTTTTCCCCTTTTTACCCTATCTCATAACAGATTTGCAATTATTAGGTTTAGTCATATAATTCTGGTTTCTGGGAACCAATTGTAACAGTGAATGTATCATCCTTGTTCATCATACTTGACAGTTAAGAATAAATTTGGAGTGCACTAACATGCAATAATATTAGACTCAAAAGACAGTGGAATGACAAGGAAAAATCTCCATAACTGATCCCCAAAAAGCTGAGGTTATGATGAGATCATCAGGGTATTATTCATGTAGACTTCTTAGAAATACAATGAAACACTAAATGCACTTTTTTTTTTTTTACATCCAACTGTGACACGGAGACCATGAGGCGATCAAATGTTGATTTAGAGCAGAAAGGGGTTAAGCCTAAAATGAGAGGGAGAGAGATATTTTCCTTGGTGAAAATGAGACTGCCTGGATTCCTTCTCTCCTAAAGTTTATTTTTCTTATCTATCGAGTATGGCATGTGGATAAAAACAGGTTTGGAGAATGATTTTATCTCTGAGAATTTAGGCAAAAAAATATATTTTCATTGACAAAAATGAATTGAGAAATGAAAAAGCAATAAACCCAGCTGAGGTTATGAAAATTAAACCTGTCATGTCAAGCAGTTGATCTGGTTTATGTTTTTGTTAAAGACAGTTATCAGCCCATGGATCAAGAACAATTTTATCTCTTCTTCGAGAATTTAAGCAAATATATTTTTTTTGACGAAAACAAATTGGTAAATAATTTTAACTCACTCAGAAGGTTAAATGAGAACAAATTTCTCTTAATGGGTCAGATATATGATTAAGACTGGAGTTATGAAAACAAGTTCTGTCATCAGTGGTTTGGTTTATATTTTCACTGAACAAAGATAATTCCAGGAAAATAGAAAAAATTCAGAGAATTAAAATTAATGACTAGAATAAAACCCCATCCTCCCACCTACACACTTTAAAAATTAGATTTATTACAAAGACAGTTATACATGCCCTGGGAAGTGGGCTGAGGTTGAAGGGTAGGAGGAAGGAGGTGAATTTAGCACTGCTTGTATGGAGTGGTGGTGTGAGATGTGAAGTGAAGCAGGTGGGAATTAGCAATCCCTGTAACTATTCCAGAGAAGGTGGAGGATTCTCCAAATTTGGAAAGTTGATTAAGAAAGCAGAAACAGGGAACAAAGAGCCATTGTTGGAGTTAATGTAAAAATTAAAGAATCAACAAATCCCAAGAATCCTTTAGCCCCACTCCAGTTTTGGGGCAAAGTGCATATGAGAAGATGGCTTTGGGAGTTCAAAGACTTGGACTGAGAACCCATGTATCTGGAATTCATGTCAGCTGCCACCAGATTTTCTGATTCTGAAGAACTTTGAACCCAAATTATTAGGTGAGGTACAGTGTCACTATAAACATTGTTGCAAGAAAGGTTAATTTTTGTTGTACCAAGAGATATATAAACCAACTGAGGACTGACCCCATGAATCATTTGTTTTATTTTTTTTTTTTTTAACACCATTTGATATTCTACTGCTCTGAGATCAAGAACACAGCATGGGTAGAGTTGGTGCGGATCAAAGCAGCCAGTGACTAACAGTCAGCACTGACCAATGCAGAGATAGCCCTGTGGTTAAAACATTGTCCAAACACCCTGAGGACTGGACCATTAAACATGGTTATACCACCGGGTGTAGATGGTGGCAGGTGGTATTATACAGCAGCTGCAACATGTCCATAAAAGTTTGGTCAAAAAGTGCTCAGTGCATGTCAATAGGAAAAAAATTCTCCATGACAAATCAAGTCTGCATACAGCAAGAACAATACATGAAAAAATTTTGCATCTGTTGGCCTGTTCTACCTGATCTGCCATATTCACCTGACCTTAAACCAGCTGATTATTACATTCTTTGTTTGAAAAAATTGTCTTTAATGAAAAAGACTCAAAACCTTTTTCACATCAAAACCTATGAAATTTTGCTAAAATGGAACATGTACCTAACAAATGGCAACAACTAATGGTGAATATAGAATTGAATAAAATTTAATCATACTTTATTTGGTACTAATTTAGTGTGCAGTTTATATAGTCTACACTG